ACCACAGCCTCACAGCATCCCTGCTGCACTCCCCAGCCTGGCAGCAGGGAAGGACAACTTTCAAAGGACACCGAAAGGAGGGTGTTTATCACAGGCCAGGGCCTTTGCTCGGGAGGAGCAGACGTGTCCCTGGAAGAGGTGACGGGAATGGAGTCACCAGCCCAGACCGCCCAGGCGAGGCAGGCACACATTTGTTGACTCCTGCTGTGGAGCCAGCATGGCATGGGGACACCCTGGAGAAAGAGGAAATAGATCCCCAATGAAAATGAGATAAGGTTGTGTCCAGCTGCTGCTGGTCCTAGTCTTGTTTAGAGCTAAGGCTTTAGGGGGCCAAAATTCAACACAGGCACAAAAAGCCCTGGAAAGAGCAAGGATTTTGCACCTTGGGCTAAACAATTGTCTTGAGGCCCACAGGCCACCTCACGCACTAGCCAGCCATCAGACAGCTGCCCAGGGTCTGCTGGGCTCTCCCTGTGGCTTACAAAGGGTGTTTGTTTTCACCTGGAGCAGGGCTAGGCTGGCTGGGAGCTGTGTGATACCCAGTGCTGCAGCAGTGACCCTGTGAGGGCACAGTGAGGTGGGCACCACTGCCCCACAGTCAGGTGCTAACTGTCAGAAGTACAGCTGTGGAGTAAGACATCATTTGAGGATGGAGCCTGGCTTTTGGTCAGCACTTGTCAAGAGGCTGCTCCTCCCCAGAAAAGCTCTGCCAAACCAGTGGTTCAGGGGAGCTGGTGATGTGCAGCACATCATGGCATCTCATCAAGTGCCAGAAGTGTGACACAGAGCTGTAGGAGATGTGCCATACCAGCAGAGAGTCTGCTGTGCTGTGGGTGCCATCCCTGACATCCCAGGGCAAGGTGTCCAGGGGAGTGACACACCTTACCTGGGACAGAATTATGGAAATAATGCTTGCCCACATGTCCTTGAGGTCTCTCCTTGTAGCACTCCTGAGGAATGTCCCCAACACCCAGAAGCCTCCCCAGCCAGCTGCCTCAAGGGATGCCCCCAAGAAGCGTATGCCTTCAGAGTTAAGTAGGTTAAGAAAGTCCTTTCTCCAAGGTCTGGATTAGCCACTGCTGCTCAGCGGGGACGCTGCCAGGCAAGCGAGGACGGCACGTGGGGATCTCAGCAGAAGGGGATCAGGCCAACATGGTGCCATGAAGCAACCCCCTGCTCCCCACATAGAGTAAGCACACTGTACACCCAGGAGTTTTCCCTGCTCTTCAAAAGAGGTTAGGGAGCAGCACGCCCTGCCTGTGGGCTGAGCACTGCTCCTGGGCAGTGGAGCAGGATGTACAGCCAGGGACAAGGCAAGGTGGATCCTGCTAGTGGGCAGGACAGAGGCTCTTCTATATGAGTTCAAGCACTTTGCCATGTCACACACTGAGGTTTGGGGTCTGAGTCCTGCTTACTTTCAAGGGCATTGCACTTGCCAGAAAGTCACAGCAGACCTGGGGTGGATACCCTGCCCAACCCCACACACCAGACCAAACTGGGAGGTTTGTAGAGCAGTGCTCGCCTGTGGAAGCAGAGAGACTCTGAAGATGGACAGAGCCCAGCTCAAACTACCACAGCAACACAGCACCAGGGCCTGGGACCTGTGCTCAGCTGGGACTAGGCATGGGATGCCTTCAGGAACGGAGATGGGCTCAGACAGCAGGATGGAGCAGCACTGAGGGTGCCTTTGCTCGCAGCGTGTGCTGGCCCCCGCAGATGTGTCCCTCCAGGATGTCCGGCACAATAGCTGCGCTTCAGCAGCAGAGTTTGTGTTGATCTTGCTGTTGCTTTGGGCAGCCGGCGGCTTCCTGCGGGCACGTACGCTGTGAGCAACATCCGACTGGGAAGGGATGTTGCTGGGAGCTTCATGTTTTCCGTGCTGGGGCCCGCAGGATGAGTAACAAAGGAAAATGGAAGGAGCGAGTGTGTGTGTGTTCAGTGTCCCTGCTCAGGGCTGGCTGGTGTATCCTAAGTCCCACCGTGTGCCCACTGACCCAGCTGGGACCCCAGCTCTCCTGACAGTGCCTGCTCTGTCCATGACCCACCCAAGGCTTCAGGTGTATTCTGCTCTCCCTGCAGTTCCAGGGCTGACACCAGCTGTAGCATGGCTGTACTGGGCACCCAGGACAAAGAAGGTGTTGGCTTTTGCTCCAGCTGCTTTTTAGGCCTCTGATGATTTAGCAGGTACCTGTTTATCAAAGCATGGGATGACAATTCCCTGTTCTCCTACCTCTCTGGATTTCAAACAGCTCTACTCTATGCCACAGAAGAGCATTTGCCACTCCCAGGCCTTAAAAAGACTTGGAGCTGGTGCTTTGGTCCTTTAAACAAGACTTTTTTAACAAGCCTGTCAGATGATACTGCTCTCCTACTAGGCAACTCTTCATTAAAACTTTATACTTTAGCAAGCCTTTCACTGAAGACACACTCCAAGCATCACACCCGTCAAACAGCAGCGGGCAGGACCAATTTAGTAACTCAGAAGGTTTCCCCAAAGGCGGAGAGTATCCAGTCCTGAACAAGCTCCCAGCTGAAGGACGTGGAGTGCAACCAGATCCCTCTGCAGCTCCACGATGCCCAGAGCTGAGCCCAGCCTGGCTGCAGGGGATGTGTGGGGCTCACTTTAGCACTGGCCAGAGCTTTGCAGGACTCCTGCAGGGCACAGGGCACAACTGAGCACAGGAGATGTGGGCAAACTTCGTGCTTGGGAGTACTTGGGCTGCCCCAGTGCAGGCACTCTGTGCTGGCAGCTGGGCTCCAGTGAGGCTCCACAGCTTATGTGGGCTGGTTACTCAGATTTTTTGCACAACCTTAGCAAGCTCGTGTGAACCCGGAAAACACATTTGTTTCCAAAAAAAAAAAAGCTTTCATAGGTTGAGAGAAGAGGAAACTGAAGGCTGGTCGAGACTTTGATTGTGCACGTTCCCTTCCCCACAGCAGTAATCTGCTTTTTCCTCTCACAACATGCTCCTCTGCTCTGTGCTCCTCTCCTTTAAGGACCCACTGCCCTCCTGGGTTACTCCATTGTCCTTTTTGCTTTCACTCTCTTGTGTGTGCTCCATTCCTGGGTGGGAGCATTGGTTTGGCAGAGGGACTGGCATGAGGCAGCATCAGTCTGTATTTAGAGCTCTGATACAGATCATGGGCATTCCCATAGGCACAAAACCTCAGTCCACAAAATGCTTCTGAAGTGTGACAGCCTGGTGAAAATTGCAGTTCCTGGGGTTTTTTTGTATGGGTCTCATCTGTCACCCTGGGCTTGGCTTGCTTATTTTTTTGACACCATCACTTCTGATCCACCAAAGTCTACCCAGGTCAGCTGACGCTGACAACAGGGACACTTGCAATCCTGTGGGACTATTTCTGCTTTATTTCTCATCACGGAACCTTACAAAAGAAATTAAAGGAGCCAAGAAGAGCCCCAAAGAGGACACCTGCTTCTGAAGAAAAACCACAGGGCATGAAAAATTGGAAGCAATTCCTAAGAGGGTGCAGAGAGAGAGAGAGAGAGAGAGGATTTAGATTTAGTGAGAACATCTTGATTTGCCTAAATACGTGAGTCCCTTATTAAATTACTGTCCTGTTGAATAATAATGTTCAGCAAAGGGATCAAAACTATGTCATTCTAGATTGTAAATGAGACTTGGGAATTCAGTGGTGAGGGCTAAGTCACAAGCCTGAAATGTCCCAATGGGAGAATGGCAAAGTTCAGGGGGTACAGAGAGACCCAGTCAGGCTGCAGGGATGAGAGCTGCTTGTTGGGGTGGAGGCTGCAGCCTAGTCCTGAGGAGCCAAAAGCTTCTATGGGAGCCACTGTCTCACCACCAAAACACTCTTCCCTCCTGCCAAGACACAGCCCCCTGGGGCCCTGGGCAAGCAGAAGTGCCCGTCCCACCACCGGGATGCAGTGCTGTGCAGTCAGGTTTCACATCCTCACCAAGGCTGCCTGGCTCTGGGGCTGGGGCTGGCTAGGGAAAACCAGCAGTTTCCCAAAACTGCAGATTTGCAATGGAAACTGAGGTGCCACAACTCACTGGACTGAAGAGAGCAGTGGCCTTGCTGTCCCTGGGACTGAAGAGAGCAGTGTCCCTGTTGCCCCTTCTGTCTCTACCATCCCTGCCACTGGCCACACCACCAGCTAAAGCCACCCCAGAGAGACCTGCCAGCACAAAAGCCTTTTCTTTCCTTAGGGGTGGTTTTCCAGTCCCCTTTCTTAAAGCAGAACCAACCCAGCCTCAGTTGTTCCTCAGATTCCTCTGCTCCTCCCAGCAGCAGCCAGGCTGGGACAATGAGAGATTCAACCTCCTGAGCAAAAGCCAGTAACAGTCCAACCACCAAATCCTCCCAAGCATCACAGCGATGAACTCTGACCCGAACTCATACTTCTACCACTTATTTACTTGCTCTTGTATTTTAGGCTTGCATGTTTCACAGACGCAACACAGCACTGCTCTTCACAAAACTCTTCCACCCAGCCCACGTGTGCTGCTTTCAGCCCTTGCAGCCGCCCGCCCCGAGGGAGGAGACACCCACGTTCACCCCACACAGCATGGCTGTGGCTGCTGCAGATTATTCACAATTTCTTGCCTGGGGGATGCAAGACCTGTCAAAGGTGCAGCGTTCCAAACACAGAAACCTGTGACTGCTGCAAAGCCTTGGCATACTCCCTGTGTTCAGAACTAACAGGGCTCTCCTCATCACCTGGGAAGAGGATATGGGGAATGAAATCCTCCCGTTAGAAGGGGATTTAGTGACCTTTTTCTGGAGGAGCTGGGGGACAGCTCCAGGCAGAAGAACCATCAGCTACGAGCTGGACAGGGCCCTGGCTGAGCAGGAACCCAGAGGCTAAATTGGAAGGACTGGAAGCCAGCTCTGAGCTGATATGAAATCCATCCCCCAGGTGGGACACCTGATCAGAAAGGACTGGTTAATGTTTAATCAGCCACAAAAACATCCTGTGGCAGAGGCGTGGGGCTCTTCCCGCCCGCCGGGGGACTCACCGTCCTCATGGCCGTGCAGGTTCTGCGGGCTGCGCATGCTCTCGTCCTGGCTGGGGCTCAGGCTGGAGTTCAGGTGCTGGTCAGCTGAGATCCATGTGGAGTCGTTCATATCAAAGTCCTCGCTGCTCACCGACGTCTCATCCTGGAGGCAAGCAGGAAAGGGTTAACTCATGGAGCTATTTCCTTTCCTCCTTTCTCTGGTTTTAACATCTCCTCACCACACTCCTTCCTAAAAACAATTGGCTGGGCAGCTCCTGTTCCCCGCCCTGAGAAGCCTTGCTGGCCCCTTGGGCTTCCCAAGGCCACAGCAAGCAGCCCTTCCCTGTGCAGGGCGAGGTGGCTACCCCAGCAGGGACCAGGGCTCTGCTTCCTGCCTGAAGACTTGCCTGAGCAATGGCACTGTCTCTAATTGAGGACAATTAGAAAGAGCTCACATCCTGTAGGAGCGGATGGCTGAGCCCTGGAGTTTACCCTTTAATCTCCATCCACCCCAGTGTGCTCCTGGCGAGGCAGCGGCGTGGGGGAGCTGAGGACAGGCAAGAAATGGCTCCATAAAACAACCTGGACTTTTCTGAGATCAAATCATCTGCTACACAAGGAATCACCAGAGCACAGGCAGCAGCAGGAGTACCTTCTGGGGCATACCTGGACACAGGTATGGATCCCCAAAGATCTGCACTGCCTGATGCTGCAGAGGAGGCTCCTCCAGACCTCTCCAGAGGGATATTGACTCTGTACCCTGATCAAAAATGACAGCACACACCTTGGGAAGGGGCTGGGGGAGTGAGGTCCCCAGGGAGACAAGGACACCCCAGCTCAGGCCAGGGACCCCAGCCAGCCGCCTGCTCCCTGACGATGGCATAGATGACATTCCTCTCTCCCACTTGTGCAGCTCAAAGGACATTTTCTCTCTCCCTCTCTCCCTTCTCACTAACCTTTACAGTACTTTGAGACACAGCCCTTGGATCGCTTCCAGTGCCGGAAAGGTCAGCCACAGGATTTCAAAACCATCATCATAAAGGCAGCACTGAGATCCTGAATGAGAGGAGGGGCTGTGGGACCTCCCCAGGCTGAACTCTCCTAATGCAAAGCTTGGGAGGAAGCAGATACATGTTCCTGTATGGACACGGTCCTGCTGGTGATCCCTTTATCTGCCTTCCTCTCCCTGCTCCCCTCCCAAAGCCAGGGGCACAGACAGCCCTGGGGTGCAGGGGAACACCAAAAATGCTTCCAGAACCGCTTTCAACTCTGCTTTCCTTTGATTGAAACATTTCAAAGGCTTGTAAACCTCTATGCTCTTGTTTTTTTTTTACCCTCCCCCTGGTCCTGAGATAAAATACAATCCCTGCTCCCTTTCCGTGTAAGCAGTAATTGGCAGCACCCCTCCAACCTACGCCTGCTCCTCATAAAAACGGCCCTGTCTGGCTGCCGCTGGCTGATAGTTTTTATTGTGAACAAACAAATGTCTTTAAAGACAGGTTTGTGCTTTTCCTCCCAGCTCCTTGTCCCTGCAGACACATCTGCTGGCTCAGGGCTCGTGCTGGCCCCAGCCCGCTCCCTCCATGTGCCTCCCGGGGAGTTTCCTGGAATTTACAGCTTGTGAAACCCTGCACGCACCAAGGGACGGACTGATGGACAGACAGACAGGGCTCAACAGCCCCATGTGTGCCCCCCAGAGGGACACCCTGACCCCAGACCCACCAGGTGTCCCTGAGCAGGAGGGCAGAAGGTAGGGACAGGCACATGGTCCCTGGCTCAGCTCAGCTCCACTGCCACACCAGGCACAAAGCAATCCTGCCTCTCCAGAAACTCCATCTTGTACGTACAGGAACAGAACTGCAAAGGTCTCCCTGTTGCAAACTATAAATAGTCTCTTTATTGTAAGCATTTGCAGGGAAGCAGCCACCCTAATATCTGGCCTTCTTCACAAGGCTTACTCAAGATTACTGTCAGGCTTAAGAGACAAATGCAAATGCCAAGGTCCTTGCTACCCACAGTCTCTCACCTGTCCGGTGAGGAGGAGGAGCATGGGGAATGACCCATGATGTTTTCAGGTTGTTCAGGCTCAGGTGCAGAGGACATCCAGCCCCAGCACCCAGCCACAACCCAGGAGGCACCAGGTTCTCTGTGCACTCACACGGGGGAGAAGCAGTGACACGAAGGATGCCTTGCATGCACATGCAATGCAAAGTGCTTTATAAATGTGTACAATTCTCTTGAGGTGCAATAACATTCACCTATTATTAGAAATACTCTGGCTATCAAACCAGAAACTGATAAGCTATAAATGACTCAAATTAAACAAGGCTGTCACACATCCACCAGTCCAGGATCAGCCACCAGCAGAAAGTCACCCCCCACTTTCCAGACAGAGCTTTCTGCTTTCCAGCATTAATATCCTTGGCCAAAATGCCAACAGGATGAACTTCCCAGCATCTCACAGCTCACACTGCCCACCCCAACAGAATGCAAAGCCAAACGTGCAGGTAGAACCCTTCCTGGCAGTGGGAATTGTGGAGAGAGCATCCACTGCCTGCTGAGTCTGGGCAGCCACCCGGCTCTGCCCACACCACAGTGCCCCAGGAACTCCTCACACCTTTGTGCCTCTTTACTAAAGAAAGAAAAGCCCCAGGCTCAAGAGTGGCTCTGGCATCCCCATCACTCCCGCTCTGGCACCCTGCACTAGCCCTTGGCTGCATTCCTCACTGCTTGTAGGAACACCAGAGGCCACCAGCAAACTCCTGCCTCAGCACACCCCTCAGAGACCAAAGGCTGAACACTGTGACCTCCAAGGGCTGCCCATGAACTGCTGGCACTGCCTCCTCATACCAGGGACAATCCCAGGGACAGGAGGCCCCAGCAGCAGCGTCCAGAGCACCGGCTGCCCAGCACAGCCAGGAGCAGAGGGACAGCAGCACAGCACAAATCCAGCCTCAAAGCACAGGACACCAGAGCAAGATCAAAATTTCTGGCTAGTGGGAGCTCTGAATCTCCCTGGATGCCAGTAACCTGGCTGAAGGCTGAGCCTTGCAGGGGGCTCCCCATCCAGCCAAACAAGGAAGCATTTCTCAACAGCAGCAACAGCCACGACTCGGAGCAATACGGTAAATGTAATCTACCCTTCCACCCTCTTTTGGCTTGCAAGTCAGGCAGCTCATTCTTTTTCCTCTCTGGGTTCTCAGGAGAATTCCCTCTGCTAATTTCTTCTTTCCTGTAAACAAACTTCAAATGAAACTTTCATTAGAAAACAGAATGCAATCCATTACCAGTGCCTGTCTCAGGACCTGCTGCCTTTTCCCCAGTTCCACACCACTCGTGGCACAGATGGAAATGCCAGTGGCGCCCCAAGCAGCCAGCCCAGAGCCAAACCCTGAACCCCGGCACTGCTGCTGCCGCCCTCCTCCTTCCTGCCTTTCCCAGCTCTCCGGAGAGATCTCACCCCGCAGTAAAGTCCCATCGCTTTGTTTCCAATGTTCAAGGGACTGAGCGATCAAGGGTCAGGCAGCAGAGCTCCTCTCTGCAAGGGGAAGTCAGATCCTGCTGCTGCACACTCGCAGGGCACACCCAAACATCGGAGCAGGGCTCCCGGCACCACTCAGGGTTTGGAAAACAAAATCCTTGCTACTCTCCTTATCTACAGTCCAACATTCACAGCTGCTTTACAGACATTCACAGCCAATATTTTCTACCCAGCAGAAGCAGACACTCACATGTGCAGGGCTCACACTCCACATTTCTGTCCCACTTTCCATTCACGATCTTCAAGCACTGTGCCTGCAAGTGCCCGCTGAGCTTCCCAACTTCGCTGCGAGTTAGAAAACTACTCCTCGTATTATAAAGCTGGAACCCCCGGCTACTGACAGCCACCCTGGCTGGTCCAAGAACACAGCGAGTCGCTGGCAGGTCCAGGAACCTAATGAAGCCCCCCGGACTGCAAGGCTGTAATTGCTAGACAATGTTTCTTCACCAAAGCCCTTCCTCCTGGAGAGCAACCTCCCACAGCACGGGCTGGAGCAGGGCAGGGGGGCAAGCTACTCTTATAACCTCGTAAATATATGCAAGACTATCGGTAACATGCTTATTTTACAGCCAGGCTCAGTTTCTCGGGGACTGCCTTCCAATCTCTCTCCAGTCATTTACATGCTGTGCCTCACGTTTAATATGCCAAGCTCCGAGTCTCAGGACGGTTTATTTTCTCTCTTTAAGTCCTTTTATTTTAAAGCATGTCCTTTCACGCCACAACCTACTATCCCGACGGGATTTCCTTGCGCGGAGCAGGAACCGAGGCTGTGTGCCGTGCAACCCCCCCAGCACACAGCCACGCTCAGCTTCCCACCAGAACCAGCCGTGTTTTTAGAATCAACAAAAGGCAACGCGTGACTGCCAGCCCCCGGAGCTGCTCCAGCGCCACGCCGGTGCCGTGCACGACCTGCCCGGCACAGGCAGCCCCCAGAGCCGCCGAGCCCGGCCAGGACAGAGCCCGCAGGAAGGCAGCCTCATCTCCGCCTCAGCCACTGTTTAAACCCAGCCCTCTGAGCATGCCAAGAAGGTATTGAACCAGATTTGACCCTAACTTAACCAGTTCCGCGCAGAGAAAGGCTTACTAATGGAAGATAAAACACTCCGGGTCAAAGATTGGTACTGCGGCCGCGAATAGTGTGGTGGACATCGCTTCAAAGAGCCGAGAACGCCTCACGGCACACGGGTGTGCGCGGGCTGTGGCGGCGGTGAGCTGTGACTGCGCTGCCTACTCGTGTGTACAATTCCCACACCAAAGAGAACATCCCCGGCGCTCTTTGTCAGGTCACTTACGTCCTTATTTACCGCGATTGCTGCTGATTTCTACGGGACCCGGCAAAACCCGAGTAATTTCCTACTTCCCGAAAATGGGCAAAACACTTAATTTTAACGGCAAACGGCAAATGCAAGAGGAAGGGAAGCTCATCCCCTTCGCCCCCTCCCCCTTCTCTAAGAGCTCTTCTGGGAACCCCCCGAGCATTCCCACCGCCCCGAGGCGCGGGGAGCTGCCGGGGCGGGGGGCGGCCCCGCAGCCCCTTCCCGGAGCCGCTGCCCCGTTCCTGCTGTTCAGCGGGGAGGTGCTGAACGCGGGGCAGGGGGGACCGGGCTGCACGACTCCCACCACCACCACCGCCCCGGAGCCCCGCACCTGCCTCCCCCGCACCTGAACTTGCTCACAGGCGTTTGCTTTTCCGTGCGAGGTGGGGACGGTGACTGATACCGCGCGGTGTGAAAGGGCACTTTGCTCTTCCCCCAGCACCGGGAAGCGAGTGCCGGGGGGGGGACGGACCCGGTTTTGGAGGCGGTGGCCAAGAGGAGCAGCGCTGTGGGCTGAGCGGCCGGGGGTCCCCCTGTCCCCACCCTCCCCGACGGCCGCGGGACCCCGGGGGGACGCGGTTCCCACGCGCGTGTCCCCGCGGCAGCGAGGTGCGAGGCGCCGGGCGAGAGTCCCCGTCCCCGTCCTACCCCCGCCCGCAGGTAAATAGATACACCCGCGATGGAGCCCTGCCCGCGCGTGTGCGGGGCTCAGCGTGCGGCGAGGATTGACACGTAAGTAGGGCTTTACCTCCAGGGAGGCGGCTATTTCCAGCACAATCCCCTCCCGGGGTCGGGGCTGATGGTGATGGCGGCGCGGGGCCGGTGCCCGGGGATGGCCGGGGACGGAGCGCTCCCGCCGCCGCCTCCTCCCACTTTCTTCGGCGCTTTTGTGCTCTTCCGGGCGCGGGGGAGCCGCGCCGGGCGCGGGGAAGGACGCGCCGCCCTCCCCCCCCCGCCGCCGGCTGCCGGCCTGCGCCAGCCCGGCGGCGCGGCGGGGAGCGCGGGGCGGAGGGACGGAGGGACGGAGGGAGGGGGCCCGGGCTGGCGGCGCTCCGGAGAGGCTGACAGCCAGCTGCTGCCCGGGGAGAGGGGCCGGCGCTGCGGAGCGCGTCACTCCCGGCTCCCGGGGGGGGGCGGGCGCACCGGGCCGGGCGCGGCGGGGGGCGCGGAGCCGCGCCTGGAAGAGCACATTGTGGAGGGCCGGGAGGGCCCTTCCCCGGGAGGAGACAATGTCCAGGGCCGGGCGCCTGCTGGAGAGCGCGAGAATGCGCGGCCGGGGCACGGCACGGATCGGTTCGGATCGGCCGGGAGGGCCGCTACCCAACCGGGCATCCTCCGCTCCGCACGGCCCGGGGGGCTGCAGCCGATCCGGGGACCCTCCGCTCGGCACAGCACCGGGGGCTGCGCCCGTCACGGCCCGGCCCGGGGATTCTGTGCCCGCCCGGCTCGGTGCGGCCCCGGGAGCTCCGTCCCGGGGTCCGCCCGTGCGCGGGTGTGAGTGAGGGGCCCCTGCAGCGAGCCCCGGGCGCGGTGGCTCCCGCAGCCCCTTCCCCGCGCGGTGGGTGCCGCGGTGCCGAATCCTTTTGTTCCCGAGGATTCTCCCTCGCTCCGCGGGAGCAGAAGGACCCCGCGCTGCCGGCAGCACCATCACCCACCGCCGCAGCCTCCGAACGCCGGAGCAGGGCTGTTGGGAAAGCAGCGGCTTGCCCAGCACAGCTCTGGGCAGGGCACCGGCCCCAGGTCCCCGGGAGGATGGGGATGCTGCGGCCCAGCTCTGGCAGGGCAGTGCTGGGGGTCCCGGCATCCCCCAGGCTGGGACCTGCTCCCAGCCTGGACTCCGAGGGCAGTGGGTCAATGAGCTCTGTCCTAGTTTGGGATCACCATGATGGGATGGTAATCCCCATCCCACTCCCCAGCCCACGTCATGTTTCACTATTTAATGGTTACAAAGGAAATGGTTTATGAAATAAACCAAGTGTAGCAGTTCAGTGTTGAGCCAGCAATAGGCTGGTACCAGAAATGGTGCCAGAGGCAGGATGGGAACTGCCAGGTTTGGGTTTATGGCTTGTTAGTGGGGATGTCCAATTATGATGTTATCTGTTCCAGCGTTAACCACCACACTGCCAGGGAAGAGGCAAGGGAAGAGGGTGGCTTAGGAAGATCTGAGGCCAGAGGTGAAAATGGGCATCACTGACTACATTTCCCTCTCCTCCAGGCTGGTCACAGAGCCAGAGGCTGAAATGCAAGCACGGGAGCCCTGGGGGCCTTCTGCAGGAGGCGGATGGCTGGGAGGCCAGCGGCCTGTGAGCCCCCAGCCACAGGGACTTCTCTACACTCCCTTCCAGCTCCATGGCTGCCGCTCCTCCCTGAAGCTAAAATAAAATCCTGACCATTTAAGGTGAACAGGAGCCTTGCCGAGAACCTCAGCAGAGCGGGCTTTAACCCCTTCCCATTGCTGGGCTTTGTTTACTCCTTGCACTTCCTTTGGCTTCAAGCTAGACCGGCTTAAAGCCATTTGAGAGAGCACATCCCCTGGGACCAGAGTGCCTGTCCCTCCATTTGGTGAGCTTGCAGAGGACACAAACTGGCCAGGACGCGAGTTTGAAGCACAGTCACTATTCCGTGCTGCCTCACCATGTGGACACTCTTATTTTATACTAAGTGCCTTTGTGTGGGTTAGCTTAATCCACTTTGGAAATGGATTAACCTAAATTTCACATCGGCAAACTTAGTGTGGAACAGCCGGGTCCACACAGGGACTGAGGGAGGAAGAGCCATTGAGCAAGAGCTGCTGGGCAGGAGCTGCTCCCCGGGCAGGAGAGGGGTCCTGACCCCAAGGGGGGTCACTGCTGTTACAAGTGGGGTCATGAGCCCGACAGAAATGCAATTGTTTGTGCCAGCACACGGGGTCACGAGGCTGGCAGAAGTGGGGCTCACCAGCGGAAGAGGGGCTGCCTCCAGAAACACCAGGGAGGCTCTGGGAAACAGCCCACCAAGCGCCTTTCCAGTGGGTACTTTTCGGATTCAAATTGTCTAGGGGGAAATAACTGGCAATTAGATATAGAATTGGTAATAATAATTTATCGAGTTGTCAGGAACAGGGGTAAGTGCCTTACGAGATTACACATTAAAAAAAAACACACACCATAACAAACTAGTGCTGCTGTTACTATATCATATATATAATATACATCAAATATATTATTTATAAGTCACTTCCTTCCCTCTCTCTTCACAATGTGTTCATTACCTCTGGTACCTGCCAGCCCCCTCACACGGACACAGATCTGCCCATGCAGAGAGCCTGGGGCTCCCTGTCCGACTGTGTTGGTCCAGCAGGTCCTGCTGGATTCCCCCAGAGCTGAGCTGCAGGTCCTGGGAAGAGCCATGTCCCAGCTGTGACAGCACCCACACCACAGAGCCTGCCCCAGCACCAGGCAGGGATGCTTCCAAGGGCATCACTAACAATGACCTGACCTCATCTGTTGTCATTTCCTAAGGCAAAGCTCCACGAGAATGCCAGTACTGCTGTCAAACCCAGGAATACACGACATTTAAAGCGCTGCAGGAGCTTAATTGAATGGTTGTGGTGCTGTGGATTGTGGGCACAGGGATCTAGTGGTGGGAGCAGGGACTGCAGGCTCTGGCCATCACGCCAGAGGAGTCACTGACTCATGGACGACCTTGTGCGAGTCACTTGATGTTCTTGTGCCTCTGAAAAGTAGGTTAAATAACAAACGGGACCTCCTGCACTGGGTCCTCCGTGACCATCAAACCCTGCTGAGGAATAAGCAGTGAAATGTGATTTTCTCAGGGGTGAGGCCAGGAAGGAAACAGGCAGGAGGGACTGAAGGAGGGCATGGCATGAGGGGCAGACACAGCTTTTATCCACACTGTACCTTATCTGCCATCCAGAGCAGAGTCAGGGAAAAAATGGAGGGTAAAGATTTGGGAAACTTCATTAAAGACCAGGTTCCTTGTGGGCTAAGGGCTGTATTTCCACTTGATCCTGACCACTCCTTCCTTAGAAGCAGCAGTAGTTAGCATCTGGCATGGGCATGAATAAAAGGGGTTTTCTCCTCCCAGGAGCCAAGACCAAGAGAAGGAAAGGAAATACAGCTCTGTACTTCACAGGGTACACCAGTCATTGTCAAATACTGGAGCAGGGAAGGAGCTTCTGTGGATAGAATTTTCTTCTTAGGGAGCACAGGGAATGGGTGTTTGAAGGGACAGGTCCCTGACAGTCAAATATCCCCTAACATTCCTTTCCACTGCCCAAATCCACAGCCCAGCAGTGATCTCTGCACTGCTCTATACAGCGAGGACAACCCTCACAGCTTATCTCTTGGTCCCCCAAATCAGAATTGAGTAACCACAAACAGAACCCCCACTAAACCCATTTTTGGCCACTCTCAAGCATTCCACATGATTCAGAACCCATCCTTGTGAGTAAAACTGACTCCTCAGCTCCTTCTGTGCACACACAAACTGCTGGTGTGGGTCTGAGGGGTGTGTGCAAGCACACAAGGTGCAAACCTGCCCGCATAGGTTGAACAGCAGCAGAAACAAAAGCAAGCACACAATTCAAGGTTAAAAAGCTGAACCACACAGCTTCATCTTCTGTAATAACGGAAATCATTAATAACAGTTTGCACTCTCAAAGTAGTTGCCATCCAAGCTCTTGAAGAGCTTTATTAGTGAGCAAGACCTCAGAAGTCTCTCTAAGGTATTATCCCCTTTTTAAAGGGAGAAGGCAATTAAGAAACAGCCATTTGTGTGACTTGATCAAAGTCAATGTACAGCACATCAGCACCTGAGCTTTGAGATGATGCAGAACAGCCCACCATGCACAGCTTTCCACAGGAACAGGACAGATCCAACTGGATCCATGAGACTACTCCATGGATGTTGCAAGAGTGTTTTCCTCACTCTGAGGCTGACATCTGTAGTTTTTTCCCTGGAAATATTTCCCAGCCCCACTTTACAGGCCCTGAACCAAGACCTTGTTTCCAGTTTTCCTGGGAACAGCTGCCTTTGATACTGGTTAACACACAAGGGAATGGGCAGCAGCTCTCCTTACCAAACACAGAATGTACTGGGAAGAAATGAGGAATTAAAGAGAGGTAGTGTGGCTTCTTATTCAGTGTTCCCAAACACAAGCTCATGCTGCTTGGCTGTAGCAGGCTTCTGAGACCAGGTAACGGGCACCAGGACAGGTGTGTGTGGTGGAGAGTGATCAGTCCCAATTTTCTATGGATGGATCTGCATGACAACCACAGC